CATTTACGTTTCTCCCTCGCGCAGGCGTGCGGCGTCAACAACGACGTCGTTGTGAAGGAGGAGGCCGCCACTCAGGAGGCCGCCTCCGAGGAGGCCGTCGTCGCCGAGGAGTTCGCCACCGCCGCCGCCGAGGAGACCGCCGCCGAGGAGTCCGCCGCCGAGGAGTCCGCCACCAAGTCCGCCGCCACCGAGGAGGCCGCCGCCGCCGAGGAGGCCGCCTCCGAGGAGCCCGTCGTCGCCGAGGAGTCCGCCACCGAGGAGGCGACCATCAAGCCCGCCGCCGCCGAGGTGTCCGCCTCCCAGGAGGCGCCCGTCGCCGAGGCGCCCGTCGCCGAGGAGGCCGTCGCCGAGGAGGCTGCCAAGGAGATCGAGAAGCCGGCCAAGACCGTTTCCAACACGCCCGACCCAGCGGTGAGCGCGCCGCAGCATTCTCTCCTGGCACTCCTCGCTCTCCCACCGGTAATAATCTCCCTTCCCGTGTGCCCCTATCGCGCTTGCAGGACACCACCTGCTACCCGGGCCTGCCCACGCCGATGGCGGCAGGGAAGAGCGGGCCCGCGTCGGCCCGCAGCGGCTCCGGACCGGGCTACGTGGACGGCGTCGAGGCTGCAGTCCGCCGGCTGGGCGAGAGCGTCAGCTACCAGGCTACGCCCGCCGACGGCAAGAAGTCGCCGTCGCCGGGAGTCCCCACCTCCGGCGGCATTGCGCCCGTGGCGCCCAAGCCCCTTGGCGCGGTCGCGGGCGCGGGGCTGGCTGAGGCCGAGGCCGCCAAGGAGCGCGAGCACTGGGAGGGGCGGCTCAAGAAGGCGAAGGCCGCGCTCGATCTCATTGCCGAGCAACGGGAGAAGTGGGCGGACTTGCAGTCGCGGCGCTCGAGGAAGTGCCGGCGCAAGGCAAGGCGCTGGCCGCGCAAGCCGAAGACTGGCAAGAGCCGCGGCCGCGGCCGCGGCCGCCGCCCGGACCGGCGCCGCGAGCCGCAGGCCACGTCCGGCAAGGCGCCATTCGCCGCTGGCACGTGCGGCGCCGGCGCTGGCACGTGTGGCGCCGTCGCTGGCACATGCGGCGCCGGCGGTCGCGCCGCCCTCAAGGCGGCGGCCAACTGCGTGCAGGGCGGCTACACGAAGGCCGAGGGCGCCTTCCGGTGGCTGCTCCTCGTCTGCATGCCCGCCTTTGGCCACTGCGCGTCCGCCGTGCCTAGCCCGACGGCGGTGGCCTCGTCCTTCTCGTCTGCCGTCGCCTCGGCAGCCTCCGTCGCCTCGGCGGCGTCCTCTGACTTCTCATCCGGCGTCGCCTCGGCGGCGTCCTCGGCCTTCTCGCCCGCCGTCGCCTCGACGGCGTCCTCGCTCGTGAGCTGCTCGCCGCTTCTCATGCCCGCAATCGTGCTCATCCTCCTCGCCATCGCCTGCGGCGCCATCGGCACGGTGATGTGGCGCCGCAACTCAAAGGCCCGAAGAAGGCCCGACCGCCCGACCGACCCGAAGACGGCCCCAACCGGCGTCACCACAAACGCGCCAGCTCTCAAGCCGGTCACCGAAGACGCGCCGGCTCTCGAGCCGGTCACCGCCGGCGGCGCGCCGCTGCCGTCGATCAAGGAGCTTCCAGCGGCGAGCGCCGCGCACTCTGCGCCGCGCGTCTGCCAACCCACTCCTTCACTTGCACCCCGCTTTCATTGCACGTAGGGCGACGCCGACTGGACCGTCTCGGCCAAGGAGTCTCCGCCAGCGGAGAAGCTCGCCCCGGCGGTGAGCGCCTCGCACGCTGCGGTTGTAGTTGCAGAGCCTCAACTATTGACGCACCCACCGCTTGCGCGTGCGCAGGGCATCCCCGACAGGACCACCCCGTCGAAGCCGCGCCGCAAGAAGCGGCGCAAGGGCGCGTCCGCCCCGATCGTCCGCACCAAGAGCATCGCCCCGGTCGGCGGCAACAACCGGTTCCGGGCCCTGCTCGGAATGGACGGCAACGAGGGCATCCTCGGCGGCACCGGCAAGGTGCCCTGCGGCTCCACGCCGTCGACCACAGACTCGGTGCTCGCCGCCTGCATACATGCGGCCTCCCCCCCCGCTCGCCGCTCAACCGCCAGTCTCCCGCCCTCCTGTTCAGGGCGCGACGGCCAACGTCGAGACGACCACGATTGCCACGCCGGAGGGCTCCGTCTCTGCCTCCGGCTGGTTCTCTTGGCCCAAGTTCTGCCCGTCCTACCTGCTCCGCCTCTTTGGCATCCTCGCGCTGCTCTGCCTCGGAACCGCGTTTGCGCTCTCCTCGTACTCTGCCACCTCCGCGCTTCTCTCCTCGCAGTGGCACGAGTCCCCGACTTCCTTTCCCGCAGTCACAACGCCGATCGCTCCGGCATCGCGTAACGGCTTCTGCGAGATTGGCGGCAACGACACCAACAGCTCGTTTGCAGCCATCGCCTCTTCGGACAGCGTGCCCGCCGACCACCCGATGCTTGCTCGCTCGCGCTTGCTAGTACCCGCACCGCGCCAGCTCGTGACCCACAGCCCGCGCGCTGTTCAGGGCGGGCACGAGGAGGGGCGCTTGTTGGAAGCACTGATGGACGACGTCAAAGAGGCGGTGGGCGAGCCGTTGCGCCTGATTGGCCAGCCGCCGGCGTCCATCAAGGACGTTTACGGGAAGCAGCCGGTGAGCGCCCCTCGGCTGTTTCTGTGTGCGAGCCTGTGTTGCCCTCTGACGGATTGCCTGTGTGTTTGCGTGTAGGGCGAGGCCGACTTGGAGACCGTCCTCGCCTCGCGCAACAGCACGGAGCGCAAGGGCGAGCCCGAGATTGACTTTGTCGGTCCCGTCTACAGCAACAGGACGGGGATCATCGCTCGGGGGCGCGACACCGTCCCGACCGCCACCAACCTCACCGCCGCGGGCGAGTGCACCGACGCCTCGCCGGGCCACTTCGCCACCACCGGCTCCACGCAGCAGAGTCCGTGCGCCAAGGGGTCGTACACGGACGCGTACGGGCAGGGCGAGTGCACGCCTTGCGCCGGCGGCACGTACCAGGACGAGGAAGGCAAGACGGCGTGCGAGCCGTGCGAGGCGGGCAGCTACTGCGCTGTTGGCGCGGCGGCGGCGCTGCCGTGCGAGGCTGGCAGCTACTCGAGCGCCACCAACCTCACCGACGCGAGCGAGTGCACCGACGCTTCGCCGGGCCACTTCGCCACCACCGGCTCCACCGACCAGACGGCGTGCCGCGAGGGCAGCTTCGCCAACGGCATTCGCAACGACGCGTGCGAGCTGTGCCCCGAGGGGTACTTCCAGAACGAGACCGGCAAGGCCGCCTGCGTCCGCTGCGCTGCTGGCAAGTTTTGCCCTCAGGGCTCGTCGCGCGAGCTGGACGCGCAGTGCGCGGCGGGCACGTACGCGAGGCTGACCGACCGGAGCGGCGACCCCGAGTGCCTCGCCTGCCCCGCCGGCTCGTCGTGCGGCGGCGGGGCGGCGCCGCCGTCCGAGTGCTCGCCGGGCTCAGTCGCCGCCACGGCCGGCCTCTCCGAGTGCGCCAGCTGTGCGGGCGGGACGTACCAGGGCGAGTCGAACGCGACGAGCTGCCTTCCGTGCGTGGAGGGCAGCTACTGCGCCGAGGGCGCGTCGGCGCCGCTGCCGTGCGTTGCGGGCAGCTACTCGACCGCCACCAACCTCACCGCCGCGAGCGAGTGCACCGACGCCACGCCGGGCCACTTCGCCACCACGGGCTCCAACGAGCAGACGGCGTGCCGCGAGGGCAGCTTCACCTCCGAAGCGCGCAGCGCTACCTGCCAGCTGTGCACTGAAGGTTCGTACCAGAACGAGGCCGGCATGACCAGCTGCATGGATTGCGAGCCAGGCAGCTATGCTGCGGCCGCCGGCAGCGCTCTGTGCCTGTTCTGCCCTCCGGGCGAGGTTAGTGAGTTTAGTGGGAGTGTGGGCTGCACGGCCTGCAGCGCTGGCACCTTCAGCGGGTCCCCAGGTGGAACGGGGTGCGAAGCTTGTAGCACGGGAGGCTACTGCACAGGCATTGCTTCCTGCGGCGACGGTTTCACGCCCTGCGGTCCGGGAACGTACAACGAGGAGGAGGGGAGCAGCTCGCCCGCCGACTGCCAGCAGTGTTCCCGTGGTACGTTTAGCCCAGACACCGGCGCAAGCAGCAGCGAGACGTGCAGGAGCTGCCGCGCCGGGACCTTTGGCGACGAGCCCGGACGCAGTGACTGCACGGATTGCCCTGCGGGACAGTATCAGGACGAGACGGGCGCAACAGCCTGCCGCGACTGCGTGGCGGGCAGCTACTGCCCCGTTGGCGCCTCAGCGCCGCTGCCCTGCCCCGCCGGGACGCACATCAACGCCTCGCTCGACCTCATGACGAGCAAGGACGACTGCATCACCTGTCCGGCCGGCACGTTTTGCCCGACCGGCTCTGATGAAGCCACCGACTGCGCGCCGGGAACCTTCAACGCCCTCGCCGGGCAGAGCTGGTGCGAGAGGTGCCCTCCGGGCAACTATCAGGACGCGAGCGGCAAGACGGCGTGCAAGACGTGCGTGAAGGGCAGCTACTGCGCCGAGGGCGCGGCGGCGGCGCTGCCGTGCGAGGCTGGCAGCTACTCGAGCGCCACCAACCTCACCGACGCGAGCGAGTGCACCGACGCCTCGCCGGGCCACTTCGCCACCACCGGCTCCACCGAGCAGACGGCGTGCCGCGAGGGCAGCTTCGCCAACGGCATTCGCAACGACGCGTGCGAGCTGTGCCCCAAGGGCTACTTCCAGAACGAGACCGGCAAGGCCGCCTGCGTCCGCTGCGCTGCTGGCAAGTTTTGCCCGGTGGGGTCGTCGCGCGAGCTGGACGCGCAGTGCGAGGCGGGCACGTACGCGAGGCTGACCGACCGGAGCGGCGACCCCGAGTGCCTCGACTGCCCCGCCGGCTCGTCGTGCGGCGGCGGGGCGGCGCCGCCGTCCGAATGCTCGCCGGGCTCAGTCGCCGCCACGGCCGGCCTCTCCGAGTGCGCCAGCTGTGCGGGCGGGACGTACCAGGGCGAGTCGAACGCGACGAGCTGCCTTCCGTGCGTGGAGGGCAGCTACTGCGCCGAGGGCGCGTCGGCGCCGCTGCCGTGCGTTGCGGGCAGCTACTCGACCGCCACCAACCTCACCGCCGCGGGCGAGTGCACCGACGCCTCGCCGGGCCACTTCGCCACCACCGGCTCCACGCAGCAGACGGCGTGCGCCAAGGGGTCGTACACGAACGCGTACGGGCAGGGCGCGTGCACGCCCTGCGCCGGCGGCACGTACCAGGACGAGGAAGGCAAGACGGCGTGCGAGCCGTGCGAGGCGGGAAGCCACTGCGCCGTTGGCGCGGCGGCGGCGCTGCCGTGCGAGGCTGGCAGCTACTCGAGCGCCACCAACCTCACCGACGCGAGCGAGTGCACCGACGCCTCGCCGGGCCACTTCGCCACCACCGGCTCCACCGAGCAGACGGCGTGCCGCGAGGGCAGCTTCGCCAACGGCATTCGCAACGACGCGTGCGAGCTGTGCCCCGAGGGCTACTTCCAGAACGAGACCGGCAAGGCCGCCTGCGTCCGCTGCGCTGCTGGCAAGTTTTGCCCGGTGGGGTCGTCGCGCGAGCTGGACGCGCAGTGCGAGGCGGGCACGTACGCGAGGCTGACCGACCGGAGCGGCGACCCCGAGTGCCTCGCCTGCCCCGCCGGCTCGTCGTGCGGTGGCGGGGCGGCGCCGCCGTCCGAGTGCTCGCCGGGCTCAGTCGCCGCCACGGCCGGCCTCTCCGAGTGCGCCAGCTGTGCGGGCGGGACGTACCAGGGCGAGTCGAACGCGACGAGCTGCCTTCCGTGCGTGGAGGGCAGCTACTGCGCCGAGGGCGCGTCGGCGCCGCTGCCGTGCGTTGCGGGCAGCTACTCGACCGCCACCAACCTCACCGCCGCGGGCGAGTGCACCGACGCCTCGCCGGGCCACTTCGCCACCACCGGCTCCACGCAGCAGACGGCGTGCGCCAAGGGGTCGTACACGGACGCGTACGGGCAGGGCGCGTGCACGCCCTGCGCCGGCGGCACGTACCAGGACGAGGAAGGCAAGACGGCGTGCGAGCCGTGCGAGGCGGGAAGCCACTGCGCCGTTGGCGCGGCGGCGGCGCTGCCGTGCGAGGCTGGCAGCTACTCGAGCGCCACCAACCTCACCGACGCGAGCGAGTGCACCGACGCCTCGCCGGGCCACTTCGCCACCACCGGCTCCACCGAGCAGACGGCGTGCCGCGAGGGCAGCTTTGCCAACGGCATTCGCAACGACGCGTGCGAGCTGTGCCCCGAGGGGTACTTCCAGAACGAGACCGGCAAGGCCGCCTGCGTCCGCTGCGCTGCTGGCAAGTTTTGCCCGGTGGGGTCGTCGCGCGAGCTGGACGCGCAGTGCGAGGCGGGCACGTACGCGAGGCTGACCGACCGGAGCGGCGACCCCGAGTGCCTCGACTGCCCCGCCGGCTCGTCGTGCGGCGGCGGGGCGGCGCCGCCGTCCGAGTGCTCGCCGGGCTCAGTCGCCGCCACGGCCGGCCTCTCCGAGTGCGCCAGCTGTGCGGGCGGGACGTACCAGGGCGAGTCGAACGCGACGAGCTGCCTTCCGTGCGTGGAGGGCAGCTACTGCGCCGAGGGCGCGTCGGCGCCGCTGCCGTGCGTTGCGGGCAGCTACTCGACCGCCACCAACCTCACCGCCGCGGGCGAGTGCACCGACGCCTCGCCGGGCCACTTCGCCACCACCGGCTCCACGCAGCAGACGGCGTGCGCCAAGGGGTCGTACACGGACGCGTACGGGCAGGGCGCGTGCACGCCCTGCGCCGGCGGCACGTACCAGGACGAGGAAGGCAAGACGGCGTGCGAGCCGTGCGAGGCGGGAAGCCACTGCGCCGTTGGCGCGGCGGCGGCGCTGCCGTGCGAGGCTGGCAGCTACTCGAGCGCCACCAACCTCACCGACGCGAGCGAGTGCACCGACGCCTCGCCGGGCCACTTCGCCACCACCGGCTCCACCGAGCAGACGGCGTGCCGCGAGGGCAGCTTCGCCAACGGCATTCGCAACGACGCGTGCGAGCTGTGCCCCGAGGGCTACTTCCAGAACGAGACCGGCAAGGCCGCCTGCGTCCGCTGCGCTGCTGGCAAGTTTTGCCCGGTGGGGTCGTCGCGCGAGCTGGACGCGCAGTGCGAGGCGGGCACGTACGCGAGGCTGACCGACCGGAGCGGCGACCCCAAGTGCCTCGCCTGCCCCGCCGGCTCGTCGTGCGGCGGCGGGGCGGCGCCGCCGTCCGAGTGCTCGCCGGGCTCAGTCGCCGCCACGGCCGGCCTCTCCGAGTGCGCCAGCTGTGCGGGCGGGACGTACCAGGGCGAGTCGAACGCGACGAGCTGCCTTCCGTGCGTGGAGGGCAGCTACTGCGCCGAGGGCGCGTCGGCGCCGCTGCCGTGCGTTGCGGGCAGCTACTCGACCGCCACCAACCTCACCGCCGCGGGCGAGTGCACCGACGCCTCGCCGGGCCACTTCGCCACCACCGGCTCCACGCAGCAGACGGCGTGCGCCAAGGGGTCGTACACGAACGCGTACGGGCAGGGCGCGTGCACGCCCTGCGCCGGCGGCACGTACCAGGACGAGGAAGGCAAGACGGCGTGCGAGCCGTGCGAGGCGGGAAGCCACTGCGCCGTTGGCGCGGCGGCGGCGCTGCCGTGCGAGGCTGGCAGCTACTCGAGCGCCACCAACCTCACCGACGCGAGCGAGTGCACCGACGCCTCGCCGGGCCACTTCGCCACCACCGGCTCCACCGAGCAGACGGCGTGC